AGAACTCATTGAATATTTCTAAATAAAATGACTCCTATTAAATTACAACACAATAATTATTCTAACTGCTCATATTTTTTTGTGTGTATAGGCGCTATTCCATGGAAAATTCATAGATACGGGCTTTTCTTTGCCCTTCTACAAGCGGATCTTAAACAAACCAGTTGGACTCAAGGATTTAGAGTCTATTGATCCAGAATTTTATAATTCTCTCATCTGGGTTAAGTGAGTTATCCTTGTTTTCATATAATTTCTCAAAATATCGTTTATATGCCTTCATTATGTAATTTTTAATTTATCCAATGTAAGCATGTAATTGGGTTATAGGATTTAAATTGATACATGTATGAAACCTGTGTTGTTCAAATATGAATTTACAGAAATATACCTAGGTACTTAGCCCAAAATATTGATTTTTGAAGTATAATTATCTAGTTTTCTTATTAGTTTTATTTTATAGCTTAGTATAATTTAAGGACATAGACCTTTAAGTTATGATTGAACATAACAAATGCATTGATTTTAATTTTGCAGAGAAAACAATATTGAAGAATGTGGTTTGGAAATGTACTTCTCAGTTGACAAAGAAATTCTAGGTGAAATTAAGAGTCATGATTTGAAACCCAATGGTGGCAATATTCTTGTAACAGAAGAAAATAAAGAGGAATACATCAGGTGAGAGAGAATCCTTTAGACCTACTTTAGTCATTCTCTTGGACCACAGCATATCTAGTAACACAGGGGATCTTCACATAGTTTATGAAATAATAGAATTAGAAGATAGTGGAATTTTTCCACGAACTTTTTGAAGGTCCCTTTTAATTAATGGACAGTATTTTAAGAGTAACATTTGCCCTTGTACTAATTCTCAGAATGGATTTGTGTATTATTATGTGATCATTTTATATGATAAATCATTTTCCACCAAATAATTGCATGGAGAGATGAAAAGGAAATGAGCTATGCAAGGTCAAAAGAGAAGGAACATTATTTCGGTTAGATGTTAGCAAAGACAAGGAGTTGGGGGTGGGGTGTTTGGGTTTTTGAACCTTGACTCTTGGGAAGGATTCAATTTTGTAGAAATAGGAAAAGTTTTAATTAGTTCATTCTCCTGTTTTTTTCTATGTACCAATAGTACTCGGAAGAGGATCATTCAAGGTTACAGGAAAATAAAGGCTGTTACTATGTTTCTCAATATTATCTATTGAAATACAGCTACTTCTTACTTATGAAGTATCTTACTACCACATAATACCAGATTTCACTTAGAAAACTATTCACGTGAGAAATAAAGAGTGGGAACATCACCTTTTTGGAAAGGAGAAAACCACTTGTCCACTTGAGTTTTTCTCATAGCGCTGTCCTTGTAAGCTGTGTTCAACCTCACAACAGTTTCGGTGGCATTTTCCTGAGCGGGAAGAAAATGTCACAGCCACATGCTGCTTTCTTAAATTGGCCATCACAAAAAATGAGGTTCAAGGGAAACGGCTTTTAGAAAAAAGTCACTTTAACCATGTGACGCTACTGGGTGCACTAACTCAGAGCAAGTTGCTCGGTGCTTGCCTAAAAAAGTGCATTTTAAAAAAGCTCCACCCAGCTGAGCTTTTCTTCGCGATTTTTGGTTGGTTGGTTGGTTGTTTTTTTTGGGAGGGTGTACTCTCGTTCCACAGTTTGGATATCCATTCTCCTGTACATTTTGATTGTTTCCCTGTTTGGAACTATAAGTAAAACTTCTGTGACCACTTCTGTTGTTTCTTTAGGAACATACGTTTGTATTTCTCTTGAGTACAATACCCACGAATGGAACTGGTAGTTTGTAAAGTAAGCAAGGTTTCAGAGTGGTTGTATAGCATTTTGAAGTCCCACAGCTGTGTATGAGAGTTGTTTCACAGCGTTGTCATTGTGAGTTCATTATGGTTTCAGTTTGAAGATACTCTTGTTAAGAGTCTGTTCAAATCTTGTGTCTGTTTTGTGTTTTATTACTGATTTGTGGTCATTGTCTATGTGTTCCGAATAATTAGTTGGTTGTTTTTGAAGATCTGAACTCATTAAGTAAATTGAGCAGCTAGTACCTACCCCCATATTTTCTTTATACCTCATGATTTACAAAAAACTCGTGTACGAGTTGGTTTTTAGCTATATTTTTACTTACATGAGGGGTGCCAAACCCCCCCCCCC